CATTTAACCCAACACTGAATCTGTTCACCCTTCCTTCCAAGTACCTCTGAAATGTATCCACTCCTCCATTCCACCACCCCAACTGAAATGACCACCATCTTTGCATTAGATCGCTCTCAATACGCCTTCACACAGCAGCCAGAGGGTGACGTTGAAAAAGACAAATCTGAACCTATCCCCTCCGCACTTAAACCTCTTCTTGCTTAGGATAAAGGCCACATGCTCAACCTGGTCTCTTAGGACCTATCTGGCTGACCCCTGCTATATTCTGAACCTCAACTCAACCTCATTCCCTGGACCTTATTAATTATGCTTCTGTCACATAGGCTTTATTCGATTCCTATAATAAGTTAAACTTGTTCCTGCCTCCCGGCCTTTGCACATGTGTTAGCTTGTGCTTGGATAACTCTTTTCCCAATTCCTTCTCACCTGGTCACCTCACACTCATCCTTCACGTTATAGGTTTAGTCACCACCTCCTTTCATGTATCGCTTTTTCTCCCCTGGAACTAGGTCAGGTTGAACTTTTGTTATTTATGTGGGTGACTATTTGATTAACTCTCTCTTTTATAAGACTTATAAACTCCAGAGACAGTGTTTTTTATCTTTTACTCACCATTGTAATCCCAGCTCCTAACACTATGCCTGGCAGTGGAGACATGAAAAAATCTTTGTTGACCAAATAAGCAAATAGGTAAATGGTGACTTCTGTTACCTGCCAGGAGAGGAGCATGGTATACAAAGGAAGTTGTAGACTTAAGAGCCCTGGGTTCAAAGCCTAACTCTGCCAACTTGTTAGCCAGGTGATCTTGGGCAAGTTGATTTACGTAAGCTTCAGTCTTCTCATCAGTAAAATGGGCATAACCATATTTACATGGGGCTGTGAAGAGTAAAGATACTGTATGCCAATTGGGCACCCAGTAGGTCCTCAACAAACATACACATCATCATCATCATTGTTATTGTTATTATCCTATTTGGGGACAATGGGGTAGAAAGTACTCTGGTGAGGTCACAGGGCTCCTCAGGAGGAAGTGACAGATTACACCCAAAAGGAAACAGATAGTAACATTTTTTATTAAATATTACAGTGGATCAAAAAGTACAAAATATCTCTTGCCTGCTATGTGATTGGGAAACTATTGGCACGTAATACAGTATCAAAAGCAGTAATAAGTACAATTTGGAAAACATACAAAATTGAGTGTTTATAGTTGGCTCAGCATTCTTCTGGTAGTGTTTAAACTAATGCAAAGGTTACTCAATAACCTCTCCATTGGGAAACTATATAGTATCACTGGGCCATGTTGCTATATACAAATAATCACCTTACAGAAGAGCATAGAGGTTACAGAGCTGGAGTCACCAAAAGTATACAATATTTACAACACAGGAAGGTTTAAAAAAGTATAAACAGCCAAGAGATTATGCTGCTATTCTTCAGACATATTTCAACCATGAGGAGACAAGCAGAATATCAAATACATCAACAGCCAACACTGGAATTTAAGTGCTCAAGATATTCATTGCAATGGTGTGGGTCTCACCAGGGCAGACTTGTTCCCATTTTTTCTTTAAAATTGGGACAAGAGTAAAACTAGACCAGATGGGACTTGGCTGACCATGACCAAATGTGACTTGTGGGACAACAAGTGAAGAGAAATAAATGGTTCTCTTTGAAGGCACACTACATAAAATATTTTTGTGGGATCACCTCGAAATTTCCATCAGACACACCAACACAGTGAAATACAGTACTTGAGAATTCATGCACCAGGTCAGAAAGTTGTAAAGTCAATGCTGAGTTTTAACAAACCCTTCTGTATATGCCCTGATAAACAAGTGAACTTAAGAGCTTCTAGCTAGTAAATAAATAAGTCAGTCCTGGGGCAAAGATTACAAGTTCCAATCACTTACTAGAATACTTAATTCTGAAACTTGGTTGGGCTGGGTTTTGTGGGGTTTTTTTTCCCTTTAATGTTGAGTTGCCAAAAGTTAAGCCAGAAGTTTTTCAGAAATATTATTTAGAATCTCCAAATCTCCAGTAAATCACGGACTTAGTGCATTTTGAATTGCAACATTTCTTGGAAGCCACACTTCGTAAATAGATTTATGACTCCACTGCCAATTAGATTCCACAGTTTCCTTTACAGAACTACCAATAACAATGGTTTGATTGCACAAAGAAAGGCTTGTGCAATTCCATTCAATAACAAGGCCCCTTGAACTCAAACAATGCAAACAAAGCCCTATTTAAGACTTTTTAAAATGTAGTTCTCAGCCAATGAAGAATTCAGTGGTCTTTTTGAAGGATTTCCAAGATCTCTGTTCGGAGTTTTAAAACAACACACTGCTTCTGTTGGGAATGTATACCCCCATTTCTCTTTACTTGTCCTGCTGTTTTGCCAAGGGTATGAGCTTCCTCAGACAGAAACAGTGAATCTCCTCTCGGAAGAGATGAGAAAAACAAAAGCTGGACTATGTTAACATTGTTTGAAAATGGTGTGATCGAATTCCAACATGATGAAACCAGACTGAAATCATTGCAGTGGGGAAGACAAATGCCCCATATTCAAAATGGATAGGTGAGCTCCACCAGGGACAGATGCCCCCATTTTCTTTGAGAAACGAGCTCAGAGAAACCATGTAGGATCTATAGCCCATGTCAGCTGCAGAAACACCGGAGTTTCCTCCTCCTTCCATGTCCTCTGATTCTGTGACTATTCAATCTAGTGCAGCTTTCTTATATGTGTCCTGGCCAGCATTCTGCCAGCTGGAATTGAGATTTTTTTCCGCCCTCTATTTTGTGCAATAGCAGGATAATCTGCATTCACACATTTATAATCTAAATTCTACTAGTCTATCTATGGTTCTATTAAATATATATATATATATATATATATATATATATATATATATATATATATATAATTCCACAGGAAGGTAAATAATTAATTGAAGCAAATGGAACTCTTAACACTAGATCTCTACATTCTTTTGTTTCCACCTTTGGATATTAAGTATGCTACACTGAATATTTGGCTTCGTATCACAGAGACATTTCAATACAAATGCATGGCATGCATGGCTTGGTTTAAGAGCCACGGTTTCATTGTTTACCAGTTTTGATTATTTTGCAGTCAAGTTACCTATTTAGAAGTTGAAAATGGTCATCAATTTTCATAGAATTAAATATCTCACAGGTAAAGGACTTGGTTAACTATGGTTCTATTGTCTACCGGTAGTGGTGGGGGCAGGGGAGGGTTGACTGGGGAGTTCATCAGAGCAGTCTTATCGGCAAGGGATGGGACCTGGAAGGAAAATCCACTCTCTGTGTCGATCGACTTTTAACACACTTAGAAAATGCATCCACCTTGACGTTACATCTCGGCAGCAAACAGAATAAAGTGGCAAGAATGACAGTGTACATTCTCTACATCTTTTGACTGCTTGAACAGCTTGACCATTTCTTTCCAACAATAAAAGAAATTGTTAAGTGGACTGTATGGCCAGGTGGTTAAAAACATGACACAAATCACCCCATGTGTGTGCATACACACAGAAGTCATGCCCCATAAACCCAAAGAGGATGGCTTTCTTTTGAACTGGGTAATCAGTTTGCCGGTCACCCCCAAAGATGTGGCCTGTGAGGTTCTTCCTGGGAATAGCGAGAAACCAACTCGATGAAGGCAATGTGACTACCTGTCACTCTGAAAAACCACGGCCCTGGGCAGGTATCTGGTGCCTGGGCCTCCCGCTGTGCATTTTCTTCTGGATAGTCAAGCTCTATCTTCTTCCCAACCCCCCTTGCCAGACCGTTTAAAGGGATCAGTGCCAACACGAATGTAAATCATTTTGGCTTCTATTCTAATTTCTGAAATTCCTAAAATATGTGTGCAGCCCACAAATATGTCCTCTAGACTCTGTTGTTATTCAGCAGCTTGCTGCCAGTGAGGTTTTTGTTTTTATGATTCCTCTGGTATGTAGGACAGTTTCACAGCCTAGATAAGGTAAGTACAATGCTCGATATTTTCACATAACCCAATACTTCAAAGCAAAGCATTTGGCCGGGTAAGCAGTGTATAAGCTCTTTCAACTATGCCATTTATGAGGAACAAAATCCTTAAGTTGCAGATTTGCAAAGGAACGTTCTTTGCACGATTGTGTGCTCAACTGTTTCTTTGATCATTTGTTCCACTAGAATCAGTTGCTTCAATTTGTAAACAATAACATTACCACCCAAAGCTGCTCAAAATGATAAGATGTGGAAAAATTACAAACACACATCAACAACTAAGGGCAGTCAGCCTTTAAAACAAAACAAAACAAAATAAAACAAAAACAAGACCTGCAAACAAAAGCGATACTGTTTAATTAAAAAACAAAAAAAGAAAAGGGACTAGAAGGAACTGGGAGAAAATAGGACTACCTGTATATAAATTAGGTGAGCAAACAGTGATACGGGTAGTTTTAAGAAGCAAATATATACAGTCAGTTTAACAGTGTTTACTTCTCTGGATTGTTTAATAGTGTCAAAATGAAAGACCTATTGAAGTTTCACTATACATTGCATTGATTGAACCTTGGAGAGTTTTATGGAGAGGGGCATCCCTTGGCATATTTGCCAGTCTTCCTTGCCCCTTCCTCTGAAATATCTGCCCTTTTTTGCCCAGATTGTTTCCTGACCATCGGAACTCAGACGGGGTCCTCTCAGTTCTTCCTGGATACACATGAATCCCCTTCACAAGATCCCCGTGCAAAGTGAACCATCTGAGGTGCGAGGGCATCTGTGTTGGCAGGGGCTCAAGACTGACCAGCCAGGGTTAGAGTCATCCCGGAAATATCAGGTATGTTCACCTCCCCTCTGGGCCCCTTTTGGCCGGGACTGATCTCACCCCGGATTAGAAGAATACTGACTTCTAATTCTACAAGCCGTCACCCCGAGGCTAAGGAGTGAAGCTCTGTTATCCACGCCATTTGGGATGCTGGGCAGAGCCAGGCTTACAGTTTTGTACTGGGGTGTACGGACGACAGCTGAGAAGATGGGAAGGCGGCTTGAGGATTTAGAGCAGCTAAAGGGTAAATGCTGTTGTGCAAAAGGTCCCCGTACGAACTTCCTACAGGTGTGGCTGCAGCCAAGTGTCTGTATAGCTGCTGAGAATTTGTTGGCGACGTAAAAATTCCTCTTTGCATCACAAGTGAGTGGAAAGCCAGGGGCTGCATGAGTGGGGAAAGCACAGTCTGGTTTTTCAAGTACTGCAGAGAATGAGAATACCCAGCCGGGAGCCTGGAGCTGAGGCCCGAGTTACACAGGCTCCCAGAATACAAACCTGGGAAGACGGGGGAGGACAGGGGCAGCTTGTGGCTTTCCGAGGCGCCCCCGGCCTGCCCACCGTGCGTGGCCTTGCTGCCTTCGCTCTCCTGCTCTGAGGCCTTCTCCTGTCCAGAGACCTCCTTGGAGGGGTCCAGAGGAGACACGGCCCGGGCCTTTTTCCCGGCGATCACAAGGTCCAAATCCTCCAGGCTGCGCTTTATGGGACGCGCCGCACCAATGTTCTGGGGGCTCATTTTCCGGTGCAGGATGGGGTGGACCATGCCTTCCATCTTCCTGAAATTCTCCAGTCTCACGGGGTGAGGTTTTCCCGATCTGGAAAGCGATTCAGGGTATTTCTTAGGGGCCGACATGGTCATGGGCGATACCCGACAGGCCTTGGGGTGACAGTCTCGACTCTGGCTGTTTATGACCTGGAACTGGGAGGCGCCCTTGCTCTCCTGAGGCCCGGGCGCCGAGTGGGCCAGGCCCAGGGCCTTGCCCGTGGGTTTGTGGGGGTTCTTGGGAAGGCTCAGGTCGGTTGGCTGATCGTCTGTGAGGGCTTCCGCCGCAGCCGACTTTTTGTCTTGCAGATGGAGAGACGCCAGGTAATTTACGTGGAGCTTCTCCTGGTGTTTGTGGGAGAGAAAAGAACTGTTTTCCGACTCCCTGTACACGTCCCTGCAAGGGTACTTGCATGTCTGTTCATTATGCAGGTGGCGCTCAGTGTGCCTGTAGAGACTGTGGAGATGAGGCGATGAGTAGAAATCGGCCAGGCAGCTGGGCACGTGGGAGTGGGGAAGAGCCCTTCTCTCCAGCAGCTTCTCCTTGCCGTCCTGAGCATCTTGCTTTAGGACATAGGAGTCGGCAAGGGGGCTAAGGTGATGCTTGGAGAAGCTGCAGCGGTGGGGCTCCGACCGACTCAGCTTGTCGTGCTTAAAAATGTCATTGATGCCCTTTCTCTCCTCCGAGGGCTTGCTTCTGAAACTCTGGACGTGCTGAATCACTGACGGCCGGCTGACTGCCATGTGGTCAGTGGTCTGGCCGTGATGGGCCTGGGACAAACCCGAACACCGGTCGTCCCTCACAATCAGTTTCTTTTTGCTGATCAAAGGGGGTGGGGAGCCATAGGGGTAGCTGCTGGAGAGGCCGGCCCCGCTCACTTGGGACAAAAGTTTTTTCTTGGCCAGTGGGGACATGATGCCTGGGTTGCCCCTTGAGTAGAGCAGGGGCGTGTAATTAAGTCCATGGTTCTCATTCATGGGCCCAGTCAAGTCTTTGTCTTTGAACATGTCAAATGACTGGACCACAAGGACCTTCGGGGTCTGCTTGAGTGCACTGTGGATGTCGTCACTGCCCAGCTGGTCCACCTTCACGGTGCAGTTGGCGATATAATCCGCCATTGCGGGGAGTTTGTCATCCTCCATTTCACTCTGGTTTGCCAGTGGTGGCTGCGTGGTGGGGAAGCCGGGGAAGGACGCTTCTTGGAGTTCATTTTCAGGGCTCTCTGTAAAACAGCAGGGCTTGGGTTCTTGTTTTGAGTCCAGGAGAGCCCTGGGAGAGGTGCGCGACTGTTTGCCAGCCCCGGGGATCGGGGCTGGATCCCTTTCGGGGCCCAGAGGGGCACTCGCGAGTGGAGGAGCAGGCCCCTCCTCTCCTGCCTCCTCGTTGCTGGCACCTTGATCTGTGTCGTTGTCCTTTTCTGGGTCTGCTCGGGACACCAGGGGCCTTGCTGCAAAATCCTGGTGCCCTTCCACTTTTTTCTTTGTGTCTGCTGCTGGGAGAGGCTCAGTGATGCTTTTCTGGTGTAAAGTCTCTTGCTCCTTCTCTTGCTCTGACGAAACCTGATAAAATATTGCAAAAGATAGTCAGAAGGAAGCCAAGTGCGTTGACACTTTATGCTATGAAATAAAATATTACACACAGCCGTTTTTTGAAAACAGCCTTTTCAGTCAGCTCATGGAGTTTCTGTAAAGCTTTATTACTCCCCAATCATGGCTCTAAACAAAGAAATATAAATTACAGAAACGTTAGGGGAAATATGCATGCTCGCTCCAGTCCCTTCTGAGATACCTATCAAAATAGCAAAGTATTATGTACTGCCGGTATACAGTCATATCACTCCTCGATTCTAATATATAGTTTAATTCTGAGGTTGTTTTCTTGTCAAATCAGTCAATTATCCAAATGGGTTTTAAATTACATGTTGCGGTTTATGACACTTTGGAGAAAGATTTTTTTAGAATCTCTCTTTCAAAAATCCAACCCCGTGTCAACAACAAACTTACTAAAACCCCTTGTTTTTTTCTTCGAGAGAGCAAATCCCGTCCTAACATGTTCAATATGATGCGTTAAATTAGCAATGCTTAAGTGTTAATAATTTCTACCCAGTGCCATATGACATGCAGATAAAGCTAAAATATTGAAAAATTATGCAGATGCCATGTCAGCCTGTCTACCTGAGGGGCAGAAGGACTCCAAGTCCTTCTAGGCTGTAGCAAACTACATTTCCATTAAAGCTGAAAGTGAGGTTGTCAAAATTCAAGCTGTGAGTGCCACAACACATACAGCTTTTCACTGAAATAAGCTGTAGTCAATGAGACGGATGGTCTTTATGTGTCCCCACTGACAGAAGTCGTGGGCACTGTTCGACTCATTCACTGCATTACGTAGCTGTGCAGATTTTGGCCTCAGAAGGTCATCTTAACTTTCCATCTGTGACCCAGGGGGACTGGCAAGTTCTTTCAAAACTTCTGTCATTCTGCCCTGATGTGTCTTGGTGGAGAACAGTCACAAAACGGTGATATTGAGATGGTCTTCCCCCACCTCCCCGCAACCTCATCCCTTGAATATTTTTCTTCTTTGTTAAGGAAAGAAGTGTCTACCACTTTAGCATCTTTGGGCAAGATTGAGGATGCTGGTGTAGGGATGCATAGGAACAAGAGTTTTAAGGAACCATACCCATTTCATAGATATTTCTCCTTAAATCCACTTCAAGATATCCCTCTTTTTTAGGGATGCTTTTATCATCAGTCTTTTCCTTTCTTTGTTTTTGTACTAATAGCTGCCTTTTCCAGTACAAATATCATTACTCGTTCTGCATTAACAGTCATCATTGGTCTCGTGAGCTTATACATCACATGAAAACATAGAAACATGACTACGGCTGGGGAAAAAGGCATATTGCGTTTAAGTGTTAGTTTCTGATGGCGCTGTGGGGGAGTCTCAGCCCCACTGATGTCTCTATGACCTAGGCCTTCAGGTACATGGAGTTCTAGGTTTTTGGTTGTAAACAGGTTTAGGAGGTCATTGAAAGCGAGGCAGGAAAAAAAAAAAAAAAGTAAAGGTCCCTTTTTGTAGGATGGCATTTTATGATTTGCCTTAGTATATTAAATGGTACCTTCCCACCACACAGCTTATAATCTGATTACTTGAAGATAGTGGGTTTGACTGGAAGGGCTTTTTAAGAAGCCCTCCTATCTCCAAATTAAAACCAATGACAATAATAACAACAACAATAAAATTCAAACCCCAAACATACAGTGAGGAGAAATATACTTGCTATGTATAGAAATATATATAGCAAGTATATTTCTATATATAGAGAGAGAAATATATTTGTTTATATATATATATATATATATATATATATATCAACTACAAAGAGGTTGGGAATTAATTTTTTAAATTTCCTGTTTTTCCTTTTTATGACATATATATATATATATATATATATAAAACATGGGTCTGTGTAGAAGGCGGGGAGCGATTCTGATCTTTGGGTCAACCTTGGAGAGAGGGTGTGGGATTCCAGGTAGTTTAGATAACCTGATCATAATGACCTCGGTCCCTTAGATACTTGCAGTCCCTGAAGGGAACCTGTGGGGGCCTATAGGAAACAGGGAGCCTTAAGGCTTTCAGGATTTCTGTGGACTGCAGGGCACCGGGCTCTACTCCTGACAGCGGTAGCCTCCCAAGCTGACGGGCTCAGGGCAATGGCTTGAGGATTCCTCCCCCAACTCACAAAGCAGCCCTTTCAATTCTCACGCCCAGAGTGGAGCCATTCAAAGGCCAGCTGGCCTCTTGGTCCTCAGTTTGTCCCCTGGTGCTTTGGCAATGCTGTACATATGGTATCTAATAGAACTCACTGATCCCAAGCCCTATAATAAATCACCAGACCCACAGGATAAAGGGAGAATGGAATGTAAGCCTTAACTTGGAATTTCCTTGCTTTTGGCCATTTATGTTGCAAGCCTGCAGATGTTTAGAAATCTCTGCATCATCCCCCCTTTTAATTATTAGAGCTTAAAATAATTATGAGACAAAAATTAAAGCAAATTTCTCTTCTTGGTATTAATATTATCTTCTTACACAGGAGTCAGTTGGGTAAGTTAATTTCTAGTTAGGAGGCTGGTGTGTGTGTTTTAAGCCGGTGTTTAATTAGAGAGTCTCTTACGTGTTCATTATAAACCTGATTTTTAGGGGGTGTTTAATATCAGCACCAAAGTTCCCTCTGAGGTTGAATCTTAGAACGTGCTGTCTTCAAATGTGGCTGCTAAGTGTTTTTTTGGTTTGGTTTGGTTTTTTTTTTTTTTTTTTTTTTTTTTTAATGGATGGGCGGCAGAGATTTTTTATTATTCATCTTGAAACAGAGCCCAGCTCATCCCCCGTGACTGTCTGGACGATGATAGTAACGGCTTCTACCAGAGAGCTGTTGGGGGCTGTGGGTAGCTGGGGCCTGTTTTAAAAGGTTCAGAAACTACCTGTTAACAAGACAGATAATCATGGTTTCAGAGGAACCATTTCAAAATTCCCCTATAAATAATACGTACTTAAGATGTTTCTAAATTGGTCTTAACCCAAGTCTGGTGCACAGAGGTCAATTAATGGAGGCAAACAAGTCTCTGAAGTTTTCAGGACAGTCCTGCAGAGACACAGCAGATCCCACAATGCGTGTTTTAAAGTCACACCAACTCCTCAGACAGGCTGGCTGTGAAATGGCAGGGAAGCCACATCTTTCACATGGGAGTCCCTTGGCTTTAAGAGCTGAAGCTCTGGCTCCTTCTATCTCAAGGTCGGGTCTGCTCTCAGTTGTCTACAGAGTGTTTGCTTCCTTCTAGATCCTATTCTTGGCCTATCCCATTCAATCCATGTGCTGCCCCGAAAGGCCCACTACTCAGGGAATGGTGAAGTTTAGATGATTAGGTTTCTTAGTCTGGTGTTGCCTCTGGCGGGGATGCAGCTATGGATGCAGGGCTCCAGAAGACCCCGAGGCAGGACCAACCTCACAGAGGTATTTCTGTGGAGGAGCCCGACTCACCTCTGATGCATCCTGGGGCTTCGGGGCATTCTCTTTTTCTTTCTTGCTCTTAGAGATTTCGTGTTTGATGCGTTTGCCTCCTGATACTTTTGTTTTATTCTCGTTTTCCTGTGAATTGTTCTCCTGTTTTCGAGGTTTGATTGGAGGCAGGGGCTTATCTTCCTCTCCTTTAATAAACCTTTCATACGGCAGGATTAATCTACAAGGGTATCAGAAGAGAGGATCGGTCAGGGCAGGCAGTTCCAGTAGTGTTGATGCTATGGGGGTTTACTTTCTTGTCTCCCCGGTCAAAACCAGCACCTGGCAGCTTACGCTCCTGCTTTCTTTGCAAGACCTCTTTCTTGTTTTGCGAAGCTGTACACCGAGGATACCAAGGGACACATCCAAAGTCACATCATTGTCACTGCCCCTGGGACCTGGCTAAATGCTGATAACCACATCACAATAATAGCAACTATAATGCTAGCTGCCATTCATTTATCATTCTGCCAGCAGCTGTTTATTGAGCAGCAACTATGTGTCAGGCAGTGTTCTAGGCACCAAGATACAGCAGCGAGCAAGATATTCAATCAAGGCCCCTGGGGCTTACGTTCCAGTAAAGTACTAGTATGTGCCAGGTGATGCCCTAGGTACATTATATAGGTTATTTCACGTAATGTCCACAACATCCCTGTGGAGTATTTACTATTATTGTTGTTGTTATTATTATTCCCTTTTCAACAGATGAGGCAACTGAGGCCCAAAAAGGCTAAATAATTTGCCTGAGTCACCCCACTTGTTAGATGTGGAATTTGAACCTAGTTCTGCCTGTCTCCCAAGTTTGCATTCATTCATGTCAAAATATAGACCAGACACTTAAGATAAAGAGGTTACGGGAGGGGAGCGCAGCACAGCGGGAGACGGCTGTCTTACCCAGAGCTCTTAGGGGGGCAGGTACCTCCCACAGGAGAAGCTCTGTTTTGGGGTGCCAAGCTAAAGAGGGCCCCAGAGAGAAGGAAGGCAGACAGAACGTTCAAGCCACAAAAACCAGAGGGCTGAAAAATTCAAGCATTTCAACTAGATAACTTTTTAAACAAAGTACATAAAATTGCTCTAAAAAGAGAAACATCAAACAAGCTCTTGTTTTAATCTGTTTTCCCTTTGCGATGTAGCGCTTGATCTGAAAGGGAAAAATAGCTGATGTAATTAAACGGGATGGCTTGCATTACAATCTCAGTTTCAACTTCAGTGATTAAAGTTTTTATAATGCATTTGGTATGATTAATGACTCACTGTGGGATTAATACAAGACTCAGCCTTAAAAATATGAACTTTAATACAGCAAACATAATTTGTTTTAAATAAGACAAGTTGACTCAATGAAGAAAATGTACTTGGCTTATAAACAACATAAATCTGTTCAAATATTGGGAACCGTAATTATTTTTAAACTAAGACTCCCAGGCAAAAACTTCTTTGGCTTGGATATTTGTTAGCTATCCTGAAACTGGTTTCTAACTCTGCAATTTGGATCACAACTACTTAAACGTACACAACTGTTCGGGTTTCTGAGTACAGATGTGGGGACATTTGCGATCATGATATTTCACTCTTTAATAAAATGCCAAGTAAATCATGGGAGAATCAAATCTCAGTTTATAGCAATTAGAAACAAAAGTCATTACTGAGCACGCTCAGGCAAGGTATGTGCAAGAAGGCGTGAATAATAGTTTCGGGCCCTGCGTCTGGCCGTGGGCCAGCCATGAAGATCAACACAGCCCATGGGGAATAGTTATCTTCAGATCCCATTACAAGCTGAGTTTAAACATGTTACAGCTGCTAAAACTGGAAACTGTTCTCTCTATGTAGACTTACTAAAATAATATATGGCTGCCAAATACCTGCTTCCCACTGTAATATTACAGTTAATGTTTATATAATAAAAAGCATAACTAAGCAGGAGAGAGAAAAAAAGCAATCTTGTTCATACTTGAATGTATTCCGTCTCATCTGTAAAGTCCCCAACATTCCCCCCAGTTGCTTTTATCTGCATGGTTCTGCCAGGGACTTTATCCCCTTCAGCAGCGGCAGGTTGGGAATTTTTGTCCGGGAGCAAAATGCATTGAATATTTTAAATTAGGAAAAATATGTTAAATTGACTTTAATGAAAACATATTTTTATTGTTAGGACAGATAGGTTTGTTTGACTTTTGTTTGGTTGCCATGGGAACCCAAGGAGCATTGAAGTCTGGGTATTCCGATGGTTATTGTTTGTTGGTACCACCCTCCCCGCAAACTCCACTCTCTAATTGAGATGGTGGCACCATGAGGGAGGGACTCCCTTCACTAAGGATGACAGCGTTACCTCTGAGTGTGGGGAAGGGGGTGAGAGGAAGCAGAGAACTGGCTGGGAGAGACACCCAAGGTGAGGGCCCCTCACCTCAGGTCCGGAGAGTCCTGGGCCAACCCAGCTTTCTAGATGGGTGCTAAGGAGACTTTAATTTCCTCGCACAATTTTGCAAGTTCAAGAAGCAGGGCAACACTTCTATTTCATTTCTTTCTTTTTTTTTTTGCCTTTTCCTTCTTTTTTTTTTTTTTCCTTCCCTTCACTCAGCTCAGCAGCTGGCTGGCTGACAGCAGTAAAAAATACATTTCACTTTGCTGGTCAAAGGCCTAAAGCCAGAAGCAGGAAATCTGGAATTAAATGTTTCTTGTATCTGGAAAGAGGCATGACTAAGGTAAAACTGAATCCAAACACAAACCCTGCTTGTTCAAGGCTTCCAGAGGGAGAGTGTGTGTGAGTGTGTGTGTGTGTGTGTGTGTGTGTGTGTGTGTGTGTGTGTGTGTGTGTGTAAAGGTCAAGTGAGTGTTTTTTTTCCCTTCTAAATCACTGAAAGATAATTATAGTGGCTCAGGGAATAAAGGCTCCCGAAATAAAACAAGAAAGGCAGCAGCTAAAAGGAAACAAGTAGAAATATGACCAGCTAAGGCCTGAAGAGCAGAGCTCTTCTCACCCGGCACACAAACAATCGCTGTTCATATAGTGATTTCCGTTTGGTACGATTTTCACTGAATGTTTTTTCAGTTATCCTGTCATGGTACAACACAATTACCCCACAGGATATGATCTTATCATCTGATTATTAGAAGTTTTTACACAGTACAGAGGACGAAAGCTATTATAGGTTTCTGAACATTTAAACGTTTAACGTACATGCGATACCATTGAAAACAGGTTAGCCAACATAAGGTCAACATTGCCCAATGCAGCAAGCGTTGTATAAAGAATTTAGTATAATGCAACGTGACTGCACCTTACAACAAAGATTTAATCAGCCTCTAAACTGTACAGATAAAAGCAAAAATGCACCCCAGCCCCTAAGAGCTCATTACACAGGAGAAATATTTTCAGTGGGCTGCAACTCTAAGAATGTGGTTTGGGTTTCTGGTGGATGGAAGTAATAGGGAAGAGAAGCAATATATTCATTAGAAAATCCAGAGAAATTCCCCCTCCCACCCCCCACCCCCAATCTAATGTAGTCTGAGGATTGAAAGCTAGGCAGATAAATGGGCCTTTACTACTATCCAGATTTCAGATTAGCAAAATGCTTATTTACGATGCCATTAATGGATCTGAAATAGGTAAGCCATCACGTATTAAAAAAATAACATCTTTCCATAGGCATAAGAATTGTAGCAGCATGAGATTTTATTTTTCCCTAGGAATAATACAAGAATAACATTTTCCACCCCAAAGCAGAAACAGTAGGGGAGCCTTTTTCTATCACGGAGATTCTTACTAAATTCAGTCACTGTGAAAAAGCAAGATTTTTTTCTCTTTTTTCTTAAGACAACTTAAAACCAACCCAAGTTAAAATGAACAAATCAGTGGCATTATAACCTTGATTTATTAGCGTCTGAGCCACTAAATTATCATCATACAAGAAACTGCTGGTTTGAAAAGATTTCTGCTTTGTTAACTCTCAAGTTAAATAATGGTGCTCAGTATACTAGGTTTTTAGATCTGCCTCATCTTAAATTATGAAAAATTCAACACATTTCTCTTCAGCAGAAGTCAAGGGTCAGCAAATCTATTACTGTAATGTAAGTAATCTGGCAACCTGCCAACTCGTTCTCCCTTTTATTATTTTTTTAAACACGAAGGCAGATCATTTTATATTTACAAATTCTGAAATCCTCCAGGGCCTTGCCTCTCTTTCTCAACAAAAAGCAGCAGCCTCATATTCAAGAAATGAATATTGCACATGTCCTCATCATTTGCATTTCATACAAAAGAAGAAAAGACCCTTCATCTTTATTAGGCAACATTCCCCTCCCCTCCCCATAGACAGAGGAAAAATAATGTCAAATCTCATCAGAACCAGTAACCACTAATGTCCCCTGTATTGACTAATGCTTTCATGGAATGACTGACTTTTGGGGCCAAAACATTTAGCAAACAGTGCTTAAGAGGAGAAATGAGAATCCATGTATTTATAGAGCTCTGAAAAATGATATTATAAGAATGTCTAGGACTGATTCAGTCTGAAGAGTTAGAAGTGGCAAATCTTCTTTTTAAAAATTAATTAATTAATTTATCTTTGGCCGTGTTGGGTCTTCGTTGCTGTGCGCGGGCTTTCTCTAGTTGCAGCGAGCAGGGGCTACTGTTGGTTGCGGTACGCGGGCTTCTCATTGCGGTGGCTTCTCTTGTCGCAGAGCACTGGCCCTAGGTGGGCGGGCTTCATTAGTTGTGGCACGGGGGCTCAGTAGTTGTGGCATGCAGGCTCTAGAGCACAGGCTCAGTAGTTGTGGCGCACGGGCCTAGATGCTCCACGGCATAGTGGCAAATCTTTAGGGTCGCATTTGAACCTCAAACTTACCCTAGTTACTTCATAGGCACTTTGATGCTATCACACCAGTGAACAATTCCAGGCCCAGATTTCTACTGGTGCCTTTGGAGCAGAATGTTTTAGGGGCAGAGGGGATAAAGTTGGCGTGCATATCAGGGCAAAAATGCTACTACTATTCTTTTAACTATTAGGTTTTATCGTGGCATTAGAAAAGGAATGACATATTGGTTCCACTGGGGCTTCAGACCTGATCTGATCCCAAATGGAGTTATTGTACCTCCAAGTTGATTCCAGGGTCGATAAATTCTAAGGTTTGGCCAGACATTTCCGTTCTCAGCCAGAAACTGAAGATACATAACTTCGCTGTGAA